TTAAATGTTATTAATATAGGAAGAGCAGCTAAGATTAGAGTTAACGGTGATGATGGTGATGATGATGATATAAAGATTATTGACAGATTCTGTCTATGTGGGAACAATAATCAACGACAGAAGATTCAACTGTAAAGAGAAATGTCACAGATTGGCACTTGGCAGAGCTGTGAGGCAGGACTCAGGAAAGATCTTCAAGTGTACTGGCATCTCTCTAAAAAAAGATCAGAATTGTGAAAAATGTATGAAAGATGAACAATAAGGAAGCAGGACAGAAAAAGTACCTTTGATCTTTGGTGCTAGTGGAGAATACCGTAGACCACGAGGGTAACAAACATAAATATATATTATTTTTTATCAAAACATGATTGAAATTTCACATGAAGAACTGAATAAAGTCATGTTAATTTTGGCATATTATCAACAGATCCAGCGCATTGGAAAATATATGACGGTATGATATAAAACTTGGTTTAAATGTCATTTTCTGTGGCTCAGGATTTAGATTCTTATGAGCTCAGTGGGAAGTATTGCTGCCTCAACTCAGGGGATGTTTCTGAATCCAACTTTCACTCTTCATGTGGAGTCTGCATGTTCTCTACATGTCATGGGAATTTCCCCTCACAGTCCAAACTATGTACTTAGGTCAATGGCATCTCTAAATCAGCGATTCTCAAACCATGGGTCACGACCTGAAATTTGGGTGGCAGCAAATGCTGAAAGGCAGAGTTGGAAATGTAAGCATTAAAACCACCAGGCTCCTATACTGATCCACAGTCAGATTTCTCAGCCCCAATTCTCGAATTAACCTATATAAACGGGTCTTGGGTCTGCAAATGTTTAGTACAAAACTAGTGAACACTCAACCAATCCCAGGAGCCAAATCACAGATGCTTAATTTGAAATTCACTGGCACATCCAATCAGATTTGTGTGATAGGCATTAATTGGTATAAATTGCAGAGTGCACTGCGTGCATGATCATAGCAATAATTTAAACCTATACTCGATACAGGGTCGCGACTGAGCTAGCACGGCAAATATTGGGTTGCAGTGCAAGAACAGCTGAGAACCACTGCTCTAAATTACATGCAGTGCAAACATGTATGTGTCTGGGGATGGGCTGGCGTTTCTCACAGGCTGTGCCTCTGCCTTACACCCTCGGCCGCCGGGAACAGTCACCATGCAGCCCTGACCGGGAAGACGGCTGCTGCTTGCATGTCAGCTCTCTGCACCCCAAGAAATGGCTGCTTCTGCTTGAGGCCCCCCGTTCCCCACGCAGCTTGGCTACAGGGAGCAACGAACAGCTATGAGAGCTGCCGCTAATGAACAGAGACAGCTGTATTCCTTCAGGATGCCCTGCAAGGTTCCAGTTTTATACCTGGTGCACAGCTTTTTCTATTTGCTAAGTAGTTAAAGATATCCCAAAGGTATTAGTGTCTTAATGAAGAACATTCAAGGAAGCAAAAGTGATGTTTTTTATACACACACATATATACAGTATATATATAAATAAATTAATATATATATTAATATATATATTTTTTTTTTCCTGCAAAGTACGTGCTTTTCTTTAAATAAAATGAATTAATACAAACTATGCATTGATTTACCTACGTCTACTGTATGGCCTGTGTTATATCATGACTCCCATTATTGTGGAAGGTCTTAAAGTCCCTGAAGAGCAGATCCACCCTTTGGTCATTCCTGCTGCCCATGCCTAGTACGTCTCAGTGTCATCGCTCCCTGTAAACAAGGCCGATTATTTCTGCCACCGTGTGTTACCTCATATGATTCTTATTCTTTTTCTTTTTTAGCCTCGAGCCAAATGTATAATTATTTCTTCGGGTGGCCATCTCAAGCATGGAGAGTACTCTTTCAGCTAGCATTGTCTTCGTTGCTCTCTCTCTCTGGTTAATAATGTAGTGGATTTGGTTGCCATACACTAAGGCAGCACTCCTCTGCTCTCACAGCCTTGTCTGTATTGCCTGAGGACTCGCCTGCCTTAGCTGTGGGCTGGAGCAAATGAGCTCAATGTGAGTCAATACATTTACTACAGATGCATTTACTACAGTTCACATTCGCTTCTGAAACCGTCACTGAATTTTCACAAGTCATACTGTCACAGAATTACTTGCTTGCAGAAGATGTGCAGCTTCCTCAGGCTCAGGGCAGTCAAATTAGTAAACTGCTTATCAGAAATGTTTGTCTTTTGACAGAGCTGTGAAATGATTACTTAGACGAATCTAAGTTTATAGTTCATCTGAGTGGATCACACATTTATACACAGGAAATGTGACTTTTGCAAGCACATAGCAGGAATACGTTAGATTTACATACTATAAACAGTATTTAATGCCTGGATTTTGAAATACATATTCTAATACTGAATGTGATGCAGTCGGTAGCTTTGACAGATTTTATTTCACAGAAAAAAAAAATACTTTGCGATCTGTTGATAGGTGACATGTCCAGATTTATTGTCCACGTCATTACTGATTAAAAAACAAACGATAGAATGTTTCTGGATGAAGCTACTCATCTTAGTGTCTGATTTAGTGTGATGTTCAGAGGAAATGACCAGCTACAGTGAGACTGTTGACTCGAAAAGTTAAATATGTGAGGCTGACATGATTAGTTTGACTGCAGTGTATATTGCGAAAGTTATACAGGAATAGCTGAAGTACAAACACTTGAGAGTGACCTTTTAGAATCCCACATTTATCACACTGCGGGGAAACTTAATGGTTTTAGAGAGGTTTTCATTTCTCTCAGCACTCACAAGAGACAAAATGAAGAATGGCTAGATGTTGAAAGCAAAAACATGGTGAGTTTCTTTGTGGACTGGACCTTTAGATAACCGAGAATACCGCTGCATTCCTGTTCACTAAGGCTGCTCTCTGCTGTAACACATTCCACAGTTAATGGCCAAAGTTCCATCATCTTTCTGCCAAAACCATCCTATAAACATTCCAGATGTGAAGTTGAGACTTTGCAGGGGGTACGCTGTAAGGGTCAGCTTTCTCTGTTTTTTTCCACGGGACAATTCACATCATACTCCACAAGCAGCAGAAACTAGCATTTTTGGTTTGTCAGTGACATGACCGGGCATGTCTGGGGTAAGAGACTGTAGGGACTCTGGGTTCTCATGCACCATATTAAATGCCAAACAATGTCCTGTCAGAGGGAAAAATACTTTCTCTAGACCACTGAGTGCAGCAAAGAAAAACAATCTGATGTCAATTCTCCTTCATTTAACTGTGCAGAACCCCTTTATATTCAGTTTTTTTTTTAATAGGAATTTTGGGTCTAAGCATGGTTGAATTTAATCAGCCTGCACCTAGATATGTCTTCTCAGAGACACGCAATGGACATGGCTCTGTAGTCTTTTAACATTCAGTACACACGCCACAATCCAGTGTCAACTGCATATGTAATTTACTCACATGATTTATGTGACTGGATGCGTGTGTTCCCCTTACCGCCCCCCCACACAGAAATAATGATGTTCTAACAGCAGACCTCATTTTAGGTTTCAGTGTGATACACAGCGGCAATATGAAGACAAAGTTCATCAGAATATTGACTCAAAGAACAACACGCTTAGGCTTACATTATATATATGAAAAGAATACAAAAACATGAAATATCCATCTATTTTCCATAACCGCTTGTCGAATTTGAAGGGGCATTGATACTTAACAATACCATACATTAGGTATTCTGTTACAGGTGATAGTCCAAAAAATCCATCCATCCATCCATCTTCCACCGCATCCCCAGGGATCTGTATCACAAAGCCACATTTCTATCTTAGCTGGATAGCTTGTCGGATTTAAGGTAATCTATAAGCAAAATGTCCATTTAAACCTGGGTACCTTAAATCTGACAATATATCATGCTAAGCAACAAATCTCACTTTGTGATACAGGCCCCTGGTCGTTTTTGTGCACACACACACACACACACACACACACACACACAC